TACTGGTAACTTTTTACCATTGCTTACTTGATTATTTTCTCCTTCAAATTTATTGACATATTTCAACATTTTATTTACGAAACATGTCCAATACGCATTGTCCAAAAGTAATCTTATCAATAATTAATTGTTTACACAGACTTGATTGGAAACAGTTTTAAAAATTTACAAAATACAATCTTGTCGATAACTCGCCGCCAAGTCAAGTGGTGGTTTTTTTTCGACCAATAGTCTGACATTTAATATGAACTAATTATGATAAGAAAGTAATACCAACACTCCTCTATTCCGATAAATCTTTAAACTATTTAGTAGATAAGTAAACGTGGACAATATCTCAATTGATTTTTATCTAACTTTCACCGTTAAATATCAATTTATTTGCTTGGCAACCAGTTTTGAGGGAACAGAAATCATGGATAGAAGGACGAGTGGAAATTTTATTTTTAGTGTCGGAAAAGTTTAATATACATTAACATTTTTCATGTGATTTGAAAATGGTAATTTTGATTTTCGAATAAGAGAAATTCTTAAAATTGTGTGCTCTTCTACCTGGTTTAAATCTAACTTATAACCAATTCAATTGAACGCCTTCTAAATGCTTACAATATGGACTAATGGAATATAATTTCTTTGGATATCTTGTAACCTTCAAACCAGACACACAAAAAAGCAGTCCACAAAATTTGAAGATGTATAATTTGGACTTACAAAAAATTAAGGTATTAAATTAAAATATTTAATCATACCACCTATCAACATTTGGCTATAGAGCAGTAACAATTTGGTTTCAGAGGGAACTAATATATGGGAGCCATATCCAATTCTGAATCGATGTTCACTATATATGACAAAGACATTTTTATACCCTTTTGATTGGGACAAAAATTATGTAATTATGTCGATCTAGCTATGTATGTCTAAGTCTCAGAAGGGCTAGGTCTATTGTTTTAAAAGATTTCCGAACAACTAAAACTGTTCCTGATTTTGTGTGAAAAAAGGCCAACATTGCTACAGGCGATATCCGAAATACACAAATGGCGAACTTCCGGCTTTTTTTATGCTGATTTCGTTGACGAATATAGCCAAATATCGTAGTCAAGCAAATCATATAGATGAGTCTAAATTTGGAAATACGGAGGGGTCACTTGCTTTTTGAGATAATCGCAGAATATTTAGGGGTTCAAAAGAACCAAAAACAGAAAAAATGTCCTAATCACACAATTAAAGCCAATCGACACGCATGAGAAGAAAGTTAAGGACAGGGAAGAGTTCTAGCATTTTGGATGACCATTGGATTATATTTAGCTGTAAAATGGACCACAACAACTAACAGCACGAGTCCTTGTTCAAAAACCTAAGGGTAATACCTGGGCAGCGCTCCATGACATAATTTCAAAAACGAAATCATTTAAAATGGACTTGGACATAAGAGGGCTTTTAACATATTGTAGTGTTGTAGGGTATCACATGGTCGGCCCGCACGACTATAGCCTTTGATTACTTGTTATTTATTATGCCTAATAACCTTGCTATATGCATGATATCACTTCGAGAAGGATTATACTGACAAAATATATATTGGAGCCGAGATCCACCAAATGGAAAGGTACGTCTCGAAATTCTTTCCATTTGGGCTGATATTAACCATTATTTGCACAATAAACCAGAAATCGGATTAAGGTCATGTGTGGGAGCTATATCCAAATGGTAGCCGATCTCGATAAAATTTTTTCAAAGGCATTTCCGTGCTGTATAAGATATATGGTACCAAATATCTTTGTTGTCGAATGGAAATTACGAATGTGAGGGACTTAAAGACCAAATCGGATGAAACATATATATGGTAGCTATAGCCATATCTGAATCGATTTTCTCCAAATTTGACGTAATTGCTTTTAGACTGAATTCGGTCGGATGCACGAAAATTCAGGTCATTAGAACTGATATTGGCCATTTGGTACTCAATTAACTCGAAATCGAGTGAAGATGTATATGGCAGCTATATCCAAATCCGATCCAATCTTGATAAAATTTGGCATATTGGCGCATGTTCGGACATAAGGTCCATATAGTGACTTCTGTCAATTTCAGCCGTTTTGGAGGTACGCAGGCATGTAATAAGACTGAGTTTTCCGAAATTCGTACTAAAAGATTACAAAAAGTACTAAAATGTACTAAAAATGGATTACTTTGTATTGGACAAACGGAATGAGCTAGAATTAAATTGGGATATCTAATATCTCATGTACCAAACGCTTAAAAACTTTAATGCTACGAAAAGTTCTCAAATGCTTCTAAACTTCTAGAATTTATAAATTTGGTATAAGAATCAAGGTTGCAAAGTTTGATATATTTGATATATGGAGGTGGTTTTGAGAATTTATTCTAAGAACGAACTCTACTAAATAGTGGAAATGAAACAGTTTGGTCTATGGATGAAGCTGAAATTTAGAATATTTGTTGGCTTGCGATAAAGAGGTGGTTTTGGTAACGCGTACTCCAATGCACGAAAAGTGCTAAAAAGAATTATATTTGGTACAATTTGGTATTTGGTGAGCAGATAGTGTTTGCAATCTGAAATTTGATATTAGGGTCGCTGTTTACATTTAGCCGAGAAATACGGCGGTGGTTTCGAAAATGTTTACCATAATTGTATGAAAAGTACTGAAACTCTGAAATTTGTTATTTAGATTATATATGGTATCTGCGTTTGAGATTTGTCGGCGGTTTGGAAATTCGTCCTATATTTGTAGGAAAAGTACTAAATGATACTAAATTTGGTATTGGGTTAAGGGATGCGAAATGCGGTTTTGGAAATGTGTTCTATAATTGTCCGGAAAGTACTACTAATTGAGGTCTTTGTTGATGTCTGCGGTTAAAATATGGATATGGTGGTTTTGGAAATGAGTACTATAATTCTTCTAAATTTAGTACTAAAATTAGTATTGGGTGTACTATAATTGTATTAAGTGATACTAAATTTATAAAGGGGGAAAGTACAGAGCTGAAATTTGATATTAAGGTCATTGTTGGTATCTAAGGTTGAGATATGGCGATTGTTTCTGGACAAACGAAAAATATAGATTGATACAGGTATCACTGTTGGTGTCTGTGTTTAAGGTATGTAAATCCGTACTACAGTTGCTGAAAAAGTAATAAATTGGACCAGATTTGGTATTGGGTGAAGTGATAATGAAACCGTGACATTTTATATTGCGATAACTGTCAGTGTATAGAATTATACGAAGAGTACTAAATTTGGTTTGGAGCGAATATATAGAAGTGGAGTTCCGAAATTTGATATTAAGGTCTCTATTGAGATCTGTGGTGGATTTGCAAATACGTACTATAATTGTTCGAAAATTACTAAGAAGTTCTAATTTTGGATCAATATTGGTGTCTAGGTTGGAGAGATGTACATTGACAAAATTTGCTATTGGGTAAGGGGATAGAGCTTAAATTCTGGATTTTGATGTTGAGTTCACTATTGGTTTCTAGTGTTTAGACATGGAGACGTTGAAATAGTTTTGGACAGAAAAATTGAGTTCATTGTGCAATGATTTTACTAACATCCTTTTCGGCAAACCTCAAAACGAAAAATTGTGAAGACTTTTTGGTACAAAAGCCAAGAAATTCCCGAATATTGTTACTAACAAGTTAAAAAGCAGTAAGTTCGGCCGGGCCGAACTTTTAATACCCTCCACCATTTGCAACGAATTTGGAAATTTTTAAAAAATAAAATGGACATACATAGGCATTGTTTGTCATAAGCCATTACCCTATTCAAATTCGAAACTTGAAATAAACGGTGAATAGTGTAGCTAAAATCATCAAAATATCGTATATAAGGAGGTGCCGTTAAATTGGAGCTGTGCGAAGACCTGGACCAGCATAGACAATTTTCTGTCACAGGCTGCAGCATCCATTACGAACTTCAAATACCACATCTCAAACAATTTCGGTGGGTATTGTACCTAAAATCGTCAAAATACCGAATGTAGGGAGGTACTGATATATGGGGCCTATACGAAGACCTGGACCCGCACAGACAATTTTCTGTCACAAACTGTAGTTCCCATAACGAACTTCAAATACCAATTTTGAAACAATTTCGGTGAATAATGTCGCTAAAATCATCAAAATACCGAATGTAGGGAGGTACCGTTATATGGGGGCTATATGAAGATGTGGACCAGCACAGACAATTTTCTGTCTTAGGGTGTAGTATCCATTTTGAACTTCAAATACCATATTTGAAACAATTCCCGTGAATAATGTCGCTAAAATCATCAAAATACCGAATATCGGGAGGTACCGTTATATGGGGGCTATACGAAAACGTGGACCTACATGGCCCATTTACGAACTTAACCTGCCTACTGGAAAAATAAACATGTGTGCAAAATTTTAGCCATCTATCTCAATTCATTCGAAAGATTACGACAGACAGACAGACGGACATCGCTAAATCGACTTAGAATTTTACGCTGATCAAGAATATATATACTTTGTTGGGTCTGATATGAGTATTTCGAGGAGTTACAAACGGAATGACAAAGTTAATATACCCTCCAAAGTATGGTGGAGGGTAGAAAAACGGAAAAGTTGAAAAATATATAAATCCTTGAAACTCTGAAAATTTGCTACGATGTATGAAATACGAAAATGTTGCCAAACTGAACAAATTGTGCTTTTTAGTACTCAAAATGCTTAACATGAACTATTGGAACGAATCTAAAACTTTAAGGTGGATTTTTCGCTGACAGGCACTTGCCATATATAATGGTTTGCTCTATCTTGATTTTGAATAGAAGTAAGAGGATGTCTGTGTATCTGAGAAATTTTTGAGAAGGAATAACGGGACAAAATGGATACACGATTTCCATATTATCATCATAAACTTTTTAAGAATGCATTAAATTTCCTTCTTTAAAAAAATTAAAACTAAATTTATTTTTTATACACTTTATTAAATAATTTCCTATTTTTCATTGCAGCCGATGGCATGACATATTCCTTTGGTCTGTTCTACGATGAATTTTTGGTGTATTTCAATGAGGGCAAAGGTTATACGGCATGGATTGTCTCAATTATGGTTGGTGTGACATTTGCATCGGGTATGTATTCAAAACTAATTATAAAACAACAAAAAAACATATTCGAAATAAGATTTTATCTCAGAGTGTGAAATCTAAAAAAGTTGTTAAAATATAAAGCATACTTTTAGGCAAAAATTAATTTCTATTCATTTCAGGCCCAATTTCATCGTCATTTGTTAATCGCTATGGTTGTCGAGCTGTTACAATAGCGGGAGCTATTTTAACCGCAATATGCATTATTATTAGTACCTATGCTCAGGTATGGTTAAGTTTATATCAGATATCCCAGAAAATAGTCATAATAATTTTGTATTTTTTTTTTCATTTCCACAGAATGTCCTCACATTGATTATCACCATTGGTTTTGGTACCGGTCTTGGCTTGGGTCTAATCTATTTACCCGCCATTGTGAGTGTCAGTACCTACTTTGAGGCCAAACGTTCTCTGGCCACTGGTATTGCAGTATGTGGTTCTGGTTTTGGTACCTTTGTATTTGCTCCTTTGATGGAGTCGCTATTGGGTACCTATGGTTGGCGTGGTGCTTTGCTAATTGTTGGAGGCATTGTATTGAATTGTATTATATTCGGTGCCATGTTCCGACCATTGGAACCACCACAACCTACCAAGGCGAAGAAGAAGAACATCATAGATCAACATGCTACTCCAGCGGAGCTGGAACCCCTTAAGGCCAATGTCAAGCAAGCTGATCAATATTTGCAATTGCCCAAAAGTGAAACAAATGGTCTGTGTCGCTCGAATAGTGTGGGTCATTCATTTAAAAATAAGGTAAGAGGGAAATATAAAATATATATTTTTTTATTTAAATAAAATACACACATTTTTCGTTGTTGTTGTTGTAGTTAAATGGTTCCAATGGAGCTGTCAATCAAAAAATGGAAATTTCCGTGGTTTCAAAATGCACCAGCAATGAAGATATTATCAAATCGGCCATGAGTCAACCGCATTTGGCCCAATTGAAGGAGCATCATCGTGAAAAGTCGGGCAGCGGTACCATGTATAGGCCGGATATTTTGTATCAGGTAATATTTTGAAAAATCAAACTGAAATTGAATTTTTAATAACTTTTTGCTTTTATTTAGGGTTCCTTGCTCAACATACCCGAATATGCCAGATCACGTCAAGATTTATCGGGGTCAGGTGTCATCCAACGTTATGGTTCAGTTAAACATTCCCAATTGGATTTGAATGAGGATGAGGTGAGTATTTTTTTTCTAATTGGCTATTGATTTCTGGTCATCACAGCTCCATTGTAGCTTTCATTGACATATAGGAGGAACATTTGATGCATTGCCACCATTAGGACTATTGCTCCACTGATTAGAAATAACAATTTTTCATGGTCACCAAAAAACCGTAAAATTGTGTCGTACACATTTTCCAAATATTCGAGAATAGACATTTTTGGAATTAGACTTTTTAATTTTTCTTAAAAAAAAATAATTTTTAAAAACTTTAGTTTTGAAGTTTTTAGCAGAGATGGAGGAGACATAAATAGGTTCCAAAGAAATAAAACATGTATAAGTATGCAGTAAATATATCATTGTGGTATTTAAAAAATCGCTAATTTTTAGAGATATTTTTAAAGGACTGGATAATTCTGAACTTTTTATAAATATTGTTTCCAAGGGCAAACTCTTGGAGTACCCAATAGTTTTTAATCTAAAAGGCTTGGAATTTTTTGAAACATTTTTTTTTAACTGGAGTATAATTTTTTCAATAGTCTAATAAACGCAGATTATTTTTTTAATTTACCGAGTATTTGAATGTTTTTTTATTTTATATGCGTTGATTTTTTGTATTAATTTTTTTAACTTCAAATTTTGAATTTTTAACAAATTTTGCTGTTATGTTTTTATTATAATAATTGGGAAGAATAATAGGAAAAAATTTACCTTTTATACCAAAAAGTCTTAAAAATCTTTAATTTTGAAGCTAACAGAGGAGGATATTAGTAAGATCATTACACAATGGACCCACATACAATTTTTCTATCCAAAACTCCTTCGACTCCATATGTAAACCAAGAGTGAACGCATTACCAATCTTCAGAATTTCAGCTCTATCCCTTTACCCAATATCAAATTTAGTAACATTTAGTGCGCATATCCAAAATACTCTGCATTTCCACATCCTTTGCATCAACTTTAATTCAAAATTGGCACCATTTAGTACTATTTCGAACAATTATAGTACACATTTGTAAAACCACCACCAGTTACCAATAGAGACCTCAACATGAAGTTTTGGGATTCTAGCTCTACATATTTACTCAATACCAAATTTAGTAACATTTAGTACTTTTCGTAGAATTTCAGTACTTATTTGCAAAACCGTACCATATCTCAATTCTAGACACCAACAGATATCATATACCTTATCTCTTCACCCAGTACAAAATTTCGTACCATTTAGTACTTTTCGAACAACTTAGTACGCATTTCGAACCCCACTTCCAAATCTCAATGTCAGATACAAACAGAAACCCTCATAACAAATTTCGGGATATCAGCTTTTTCAATTCACCCAATACCTAACTTTATACAACTTCGTACTTTTCGAACAATTGTGGAACACATTCCCCAAACTACCTGTATATCTCAATCCTAGATACCAACAGACACCTCAATATCAAATTTCGGTATTTCAGCTCTTTAATTCCCCCCATTACCAAATTTAGTACCATTTTGTACAATTATTTTACGTATTTCCAAAACTAGCTCCTTCTCTCAACCACAGACGCCAACAGTGACATCTATATACAATTTCAGGATTTCAGCTCTATTCTTTCAAAATATAGAACTCAATACTAATCCCACATCCGCGTCTTAACACATAGACAGCGACCCTAATACTAAATTTGGAACTGCTACCCCTTCGTACTTGCCAAACAATTATGGTACAGATATTTTAAACACCTCAATATCTCAATCCCAGATACCAACAGAGAGACCTCAATGTCAAATTTCGGGATTCCATCTCCTTAATTTCCCCCATTACCAAGTTTAGTAACATTTAGTACAATTATTGTACGTATATCCAAAACCAGCTCCTTCTCTCAACCACAGACGCCATTGGTGACATCTGTAGCAAATTTCAGGATTTTAGCTATATTTCCTCACCCAACATCGAATTTGGTCCTATTTAGTACTTTTTGTACAATTATAGTACATAACTCCAAAACCACGGTCATATCTCAATTCCAGTTACCAACAGAGACCTTAACCCAATACCAAATTTTGTACCATTTAGTACTTTTCGTAAAAATGTAGGACGCATTTCCAGACCACCGCCATATATCAAACACAGATACCATCAGTAATCTATCTTCATCCAATACCAAATTTAGAACCATTTAGTACTTTTCGAAAACCAACTCCATATGTCTAGGCTACACGTGACAGCGACCCAAATACCATATTTCAAACTGAAAGCACTATCTGTGCACCAAATACCAAATTGTACCAATTTAGTACAAATAAGTACGAATTTTCAAAACTTTCTATATACCCCATTCCTACAATGCAATTATACACTAGTCCTAATTCAAAATTTTAGTAATTCGCCTCTGTTAGTTGGCCAGAATACAAATTGTACTCTATTTAGTACATTTTAGTACATATAAGCACAAATTTCAAAAACTTCCTACACACCCCAATTTTACACTCCCAAAATAGTCCCAATTCCAAATATCAGGATTCCACCCCTAGTTCTAATTCTAAAAAATTCTAAAAAAACAAATTGTACCAAAATTTAGTACCTTTTGGCATACATAAGTACGAATTTCCAAAGATTCCTAAGTATCCCAATCCTACACTCCCAAACTAGTTCCAATTTCAAGATTCCATCCCTATCAGTTCTCAAGAATACTAATTTAATTTTTTTGTTTTATTTAGTATCATGTAGTAAACATAACTTCGAATTTCCAGAACTTTCTACATATCCCAATCATACATTCCAAAAGCAATGTTAATTCCGAAGTTCAGTATACCAGCTCTATTGGTTCACTCAAACCCAAATTTACCGAATATAGTACCCATAAGTACTAGTTTCCAAATTTTTTATAAATCCCAATCCCACGCTAGTCCCAATTCCCTGTTGGTTAGCTAAAATTGATTCACACAAATTCAAATTGTACCAAATTTAGTACCATTTAGTACACATAAGAAAACATTTCCATAACTACCTATATCGTACAATTCAATAGAAATCTTATTTCATAATTTTAAAATTCCAACTCTATCAGTTTACCTAAAATTTAAATTGTACCAAATTTAGTACACACAAGTACAGATTTCCAAAAAAATATATTGGATCACCCAAATCCAAACTGTACCGGATTTAGTACACATAAGTACTAATTTCCAAAACTTTCCTGTACTCCCAAACTTTCCTGTACATTCCACTATTATCGGTCCGCCCGAATATAAATTGTACGAAATGTGTACTATATTGTACACATAAGTAAAAATTTCCAAAACTTCCAATATACCCCAGCAATACATTCCAACAGCAGTCTTAATTCCGAATTTTACTATACCAGCTCTATTGGTTCACAAAAATCCAAATTGTACCGTATTTAGTACCATATCGTGCCCATTAGTACTTATTTCCAAAAATTCCTACAAACCCCAATTCTACAATGTAATAATTATTTTATTTACAAATTTCAACTCTATCGGTTCTTCCAAAATTTAAATTGTACCAAATTTGGTACCATAGAGTACACATAAGTACGAGTTTTCTACTAATCCTACATACCGCAATCCTATACTCCAACAGTAATCTTAATTCCAAATTTCATTATATCAGCTCTATTGGTTCACTCAAATTCAAATCGTACCGGATTTAGTACCATATAGTACACATGAGTACAAATTTCCAAAACTTCCTACAATGCAATTCTACAATGCAATTGATTTACCCAAATCGAAATTGTACTAAATTTAGTACATTTCGTGCACATAAATACAAATAGAGATATGAAGTCCTATCCTTCTCTCCGCCATTAAATTAATTTCAAATTTGAGGATTCCAACTTCATCTGTTCCTCCAAATTCGAATTGTACCAAATTTAGTACCGTTTAGTACTTTTCGTATACATGAGTACATACTTCCAAAATTACTTCTTATACTACTATACTCAACCTTGTTTATTATTCCAAATTTCAAATTTTTAGCTCTAACGGTTCACGTCATACGAAATGGTACCAATTATTGCACATTAGTACTTTTCGTACACTTATAGTGCGATTTTCCAAAAACCACATCCACATACACTCCATCAGTTATCCTCATTCGGAATTTAGCTCTATTGGTTCGTCAAATACCACGGGTACCATATTTAGTACTTTTTAGCACTTTTCGTACCGTTCTATTACGATTTTAAAAAACCAGCCTTCTGACAGTTTTGGACCTAGATTGACCCTCCCCCAAACTTTCAAGATTCAATTCTAGCTTCAGCCGTTTCGTCTAGGCGTTGATAAATCTTTAAGTCATTCAGTCAGTCAATTACTTTACTCTTTTATTAATGTAGATTAATTATTATTAGATCTGTTCCAGAACTGCAAGAATGTAGAACCTTTGCCTTTATGATATCCGGAAAAATTGCAAAACTTGTTGAGTCTTGCAGGTTCTGGAACAGAGCAATTATTATTGAGTATTTTTTTTTAATATTTTATTTTTCATTTTTTATTTCAGGAAGTGGCAAAATGTTGCGGCATCACATGTTCGAAAGAGACCCGCGACACCCTTCGCGAAATGATGAATTTCGGTTTGATGACAGACGTAATCTTTGTAATTTTTGCCGTATCGAATTTTTGCACCAGTATCGGTTTCAATATGCCCTACGTCTATATTGTGTCACAAGCCAAGGCCCTGCATTTGACCGGTGAACAGTCTTCCTATTTAATTGCAATTATTGGTGTGGCGAATACGATAGGCAGAATTATATTGGGTTATGTCTCGGATAAGCCATGGGTGAACCGTCTGTGGGTCTATAATGTGTGTCTGACGATTTGTGGTATTGCAACAGCCATGTGTCCCTTGTGTACCGGGTTCTATTCGTTGGCATTCTATTGTTCGGTATTTGGTTTCACCATTGGTGCCTATGTGGGTTTGACGTCTGTAATTTTGGTCGATTTGCTGGGTTTGGAGAAACTGACAAATGCCTTTGGTATTTTGTTGCTGTTCCAAGGTGTGGCATCACTGATTGGACCACCTATTGGAGGTATGAAGAGAATATTTTTGGAAATAAAATGATTCTATATCCTGCTTTTCTTTTTCAGGTTGGATGTACGATATTACGTTTTCCTATGCCCCCGCCTTTATCCTGGCCGGCATTATGATTGCCATCAGTGGTCTAATCATGTTTGTCGTACCACCCATTCAGCGCCGCCAAGCGAGAAAGCAGCGGGAATTAAATGCTCAAGAAATTGCTCTAAGTTAGAAAATGTTGTAAATTGTTTATAAATTAAAAAAAAAGAAATTATTATTAATAATTTAATAACAAATAAACCTATTTTTGTGTAGGTAGATAATTATTAAAATTAATATTTTTCAAAAGACTTTGAACACACACACACACAAAACTTCCTTAAATAAATACAAAAAATAGATATAATATATATTTAAAAAAAAATCAAAACTGCTACAGGCATTAATTAGGGAAATAGTTATAAAAAAATTATATTAAAATTAAAACAAAAATATAAATAATATAAAATTATGTATAGAAAAATCTACAAATTTTTTGTTAGCCATTAGTAACATTATTATAAAAAAACAATTTAAAAAAAATATTTAGTTTAAGAAAAAGTGTAATACTATTATTTTTTTCTTGAAAATGTAAAAAAGACGTTTATGATTTATTTAATCTAATTTATACACAATCCACAATTCCAAAAAAAAAAAAAAACCGAAAACAACAAAACCAAAAATTCAATTCCCTAAAGGTCAGTTATTATTATGTAATGAAGTCAAGGACTTTTAATTAGTTAAATTAATTGTTTTTATTTTCATTTTTTACAAAACATGTTTAGCTTTAAGTTTTATTTCCTTTTTTGTTTTGTTATATTATTAAGTAATTTTTTTCGATATATTTTTATATAAATTAAATATATATATTTAATTTGGAAACAATTTTTGTTTGATTTTTTAAGAAATTATTTTTTCGGCAAATAAATCTAAGGTAAATAAAACAACGGGTTTAAAAACAATGGTTTCTTTTTTATTATATATCAAAAAAAATTAAATTAATTAAAAAAATTAAAAAAACTTTGTTGGAACTCATTTTTTGGGATACCGTGATTATTTTTAAAAATAAATAAATAAATTGAAAAAAAAGTGGGAGACAAACGAATATATATCTAAACTAGTAAGTTTCCGCTACTTCCTTAGCAAAAATGCCACCGTAAAAAAAACGAAAATATTCCCTTCAAATCTCAATCTTTGATACCAACAGTTGTATAAAAACCAAATATCAGAAATTTGTCTCTATCTATTCACTTTTATACTACATTTAGTACATATTTGGAAAATCGCCACAAAATACCAACAGAGACCTCAATATAAATTTTAAGGACTCAAGCCCTGTCACCACACACAATACCATATCCGAAACCAACTTCATATATCAACCAAAGACGACAACTTTTTTCCAATGCTCAATTTAGTACCTGATATCGAATAATTATAGCCAACATCGCCAAAACCACCTAAATATATACCAATTTCTGGACCTAAAGAGACCTTAACATCAAATTTAAGGATTTCACCTCTATCCCTTCACCCAATACTAACATTTAGTACTTTTTGTACAAATATAGGAGGCATTTCCAAACCACTACGAAATCTCAAATACAGATACCGTCAGTTGAAACCCTACCACCCACAGGGACCCAAATACAATATTTCAATATGTCAGCAGTTCAGCCTAAACTAAATTGTTCCAAATTCAGTGCCAATTATTACAATTCGCACACTTAGTACACATTTCTCACACCAAATTTCAAGTTTTTAGCTCTATCGGTTCACACAGTACCAAATGGTATCATTTTAGAAATTTAGCATCATTTTAGAACTTTTCGAAATTCCGAAATTTCTTATTTGCTGATTTATTTTTTTTTTAATTAATTATTAAATAAAGGGTGATTTTTTTGAGGTTAGGATTTTCATACATTAGTATTTGACAGATCACGTGGGATTTCAGACATGGTGTCAAAGAGAAAGATGCTCAGTATGCTTTGACATTTCATCATGAATAGACTTACTAACGAGCAACGCTTGCAAATCATTGAATTTTATTACCAAAATCAGTGTTCGGTTCGAAATGTGTTTCGCGCTTTACGTCCGATTTATGGTCTACATAATCGACCAAGTGAGCAAACAATTAATGCGATTGTGACCAAGTTAAGCAAAATTGCCGCATTTGGAGTGAAGAGCAACCAGAAGCCGTTCAAGAACTGCCCATGCATCCCGAAAAATGCACTGTTTGGTGTGGTTTGTACGCTGGTGGAATCATTGGACCGTATTTTTTCAAAGATGCTGTTGGACGCAACGTTACGGTGAATGGCGATCGCTATCGTTCGATGCTAACAAACTTTTTGTTGCCAAAAATGGAAGAACTGAACTTGGTTGACATGTGGTTTCTACAAGATGGCGCTACATGCCACACAGCTCGCGATTCTATGGCCATTTTGAGGGAAAACTTCGGAGAACAATTCATCTCAAGAAATGGACCGGTAAGTTGGCCACCAAGATCATGCGATTTGACGCCTTTAGACTATTTTTTTGTGGGGCTACGTCAAGTCTAAAGTCTACAGAAATAAGCCAGCAACTATTCCAGCTTTGGAAGACAACATTTCCGAAGAAATTCGGGCAATTCCGGCCGAAATGCTCGAAAAAGTTGCCCAAAATTGGACTTTCCGAATGGACCACCTAAAACGCAGCCGCGGTCAACACTTAAATGAAATTATCTTCAAAAAGTAAATGTCATGGACCAATCTAACGTTTCAAATAAAGAACCGATGAGATTTTGCAAATTTTATGCGTTTTTTTAAAAAAAAAGTTATCAAGCTCTTAACAAATCACTCTTTATTATAAAAAACTAGCTGAACACGTTGTGCTTCGCTACACCTTTTGATTTTATATGCATTCAAAATTTTATATACGAATTTGTTGGTTAAAACAAAAGTAAAACCAATTTAAAAATTAAAAAAAAAAAAAATATTGTAATACTTTAATGTGTAAATAAATAGCTCGGTCTACCAATGCGTGAAAATGAAAGGAACAGCTGACCATGAGAAAAGCGGGAACATACCAAATTTACAAATACACGAAGGGCTTGTCCTTCGGATTTATTAATTTCATGCAAATACAATCTTTTGAAGTTGCGTGGAATTTCTGTTGCAATTAGTAAGTTCGAGGTAGCAACATACTTCCTCATAATAATCAAATATGTGAAATCGGCCCAGAATATATATATGGGAGCTATATCTTCTCTATATCTTATATCTTAATCGATTTCGGACATAAGTATCGTATTTGGTAAATCAAATATGTGAAATCGGCAGAAAATATATATGGGAGCTATATCCAAATCTGGACCGATTTGATTATAATTCGACAAATTTATTTTCTGATCAAATCTCGTCACACATTCCAAATATCATCGAACAAAAATATCGTGTTTGGTGCATCAAATGAACGAAATCGGTCGAAAATATATGTGGGAGCTATATCCAAATCTGAACCGATTCAATATAGTTTGACAAATTTATCTATTATGCATGAGAAAATTGGTAATGTTTACCAGGGGGTAAGGCAGGGAATACCTAGGTTTCGGAAAGAGCCACCAATCCTCATCAGTTCCAGTGTTTGTGGTTGTAAGATTTAGAAGATTTTCCAAAAGAATTTTAGTTTTATTTAATTTTTTGGTTCCTCTTGTATTGAGCTAACGATCTCGTCACTTAGGTAAAAAATGGTTTTTTTTCATAGAAGTTATCTGGGGAGAATATCCCAGACAAAAAACAAGGGAATTAATGAGGATTTGTGGCTCTTTCCGAAACCTAGGTATTTCCTGCCTTACCATCGTTCTCCACTAATAAACAAACGTTGTTTTTATAAAAACAACAATAAAGGGACTAAGCCTGACCATTTTGCAACAACAAAATACTGTGGTAACCTGAACAAACATGCCAAACACTGTTCTAGTAACTTGGAAATTTTCAGAAAAATCTGTTTAGCGGTTTTTGAGTCCATAACAAACAAACAAAACTTTTCGTCTTTTATTCATATAGATGTTAATTTTTAAGGCTGTAAGTTTGGCTCCGCCGAACCCCCTCCACAAATTGGAAGAAATTTGCTATTTTCTTTTATAAAATTCTGTTGAAAAGTACATATCATAACTATGCGGAATATAGGAAGTTACCGTTAAATTTGGGCCTACGCGAAGATAGCAAAAATTTGGACATAAAAAAGGATGTTTCTTACATAATGGGAACACATGCTGGCAATTTACAGAACATTCGGATCAAAATTGTCACAAAAAAAAAAAAAGAAACATTACATCTGTCGGTACAGTTATATGGGGCCTAAACCAAAACCTGGACCTATATAACCCATTTTCAATACCAAAAGTTCTGCAGACCTGTTTAAAATTTTATAAAACTACTTCATTTCTTTCGAAAGCTAGAGTAATTTCCACAGACGAATGGACATCGCTAAATCCACATAAAACGATATGCTGATCAAGAATATATATACTTTGTGGGGTCTAAAATTTATATTTCGAGGTGTTGAAAACGGAACGACAAACTTAATATACTGATAACATAAAGCGCACATTTGAGGAAATACAATTTGTTTTACAATATCAGCTAAAATATTTCAATTTCTAAAACTTTATTTTTATTTGAAAAAAAAAACATGTTCTTCTTTCTAATTTTTATTATAATTTATTTATTATGCTCAGAGCCTGTTTGTTTGTCTTAATTTTTTGGGGTTATTTTAACACTTACTTTAGTTGCACAAATTTTTATTCTAACCACCCATATGTACATAGCTTATACATCTACTCCTATATATTGTATTATACCACAACTGTTAGTTTATGACATCACTTACTGCTACACATCTGCATAAAGCTAGAATTAAAAGCCATTGTATTATTGGCGCTCTCTGCATTCCACTCCCACTCTGGTATGTTTGGCATAATTACACGATCATAAATCTTATAGACCAAGTATAACTGCATCAACCGATACAGCGCAATTTTACTGCAACACAAGAGAGTAAAAAACACAAATTATGAAATTGATAAAACAAATGTAGAATTTCATAAAAATTAACTTTTAATTTTCAAATACGTCACAAACCAAGAAAAGCATGAATGGGGGAAAATGCCAAATACATTATTTTCTTCTCATGGCACTGGTTTTTTTTTTTCTCTCTACTACTTACATTTTTAATATAATTCTTGATCGTGGAATCGTCTCGGGATCTTCTTTTAATAAAATTTCGCGCGATTTAAACATCATATCGCGAATAAAACCGGCATGCACAAATCTGTTATTATAATATTTCATGACATCGATATTAAAATCAGTGCTGAAAATTTTGAAAAAGTGAGAATTAAAAAAAAAAAAATCAAAAATTTTTATTTTTTATTTATTTACTTTTTTTTATACCCTACAACACTATGTGTTGGGGGTATTATAAGTTTGATTGGGCCAGAATTTATGTAACACCTCGAAATATTGGTTTCCCATATAGGAAAGTATATATGGATCTTCCTAGCTCGCCGAGCTGAGTCGATCTAGCTATGTATGTCCGTCCGTCCGTCTGTCCGTCTGTCCGTCTGTCCATGTTAATTTGTAATCACTCTACAGGTCACAATTATGGCCCGATCTTCACGAAATTTAAAATGTAGGTGGGGTTAATGTCAGAATAGAACCCTATTTCTTTTGGAGATGATCGCCAAAGGTTTAGGGGTTGAAATGGACCAAATACTGAAAAAATGTCGGATTTTGCAGTAGCTATACAGACCGCAATTATAGACCAATCGACGCGGAATTTCGCATGTAGCTAGAGTTTAGGGCGTGGAAGAAGCCTACCAATTTGGGTGGTCATCGGATAATATTTAGCGTCTAAAATAGACCATATCTTTTTTGTTGAAAAAATTCAAAATTTTTCATTAAACCGCGAATATTTTTAATCCCGTCGAAATCACAAAGCCATGACAAGGTTACTTCTGACCTTTACATTGATGTTAACATCCAACAAATCGGATATATAGCAAAATATGTGCGATATATATGTCTATTAAAGAAGATATGTTTGAAAGATCTCTTATATGTCGAGAACGGCTGAACTGATTTCGACAGTTCTCATTAATTCAGAATGGCCTCTTGGCAGGAAAGAAAAAACGTCTAAAAAAATCGCATAAAAATATCTTTCTAAAGATGAAAATATTGATTTTGTAAAATTTTCTCATATTTTTTCAATTTTTGTCATATTTTTGGCATATTTTCATTTTGAATTAAACATTTGGTAGTATTTCTACAGCTAACAAAACTAAGTAGTTAGGATATCAAGATATCATAAACAGATCGCATTTATGGCCCGATCCTTACGAAATTTTGCATGGGGATAAAATGAGGGTCAGAATAGAAGCCTACTCTTTTTGGAGATGATCGCCATATATTTAGCGGTTGAAATGGACCAACAAAACTTCAAAATTGTCAGCAGGTCGTAATTATCGCCCGATCCTCACGCACATTTGAATGGGTGTTACCGGCCATTGCAAAAGCCAAGCAGTTTTGGATGGCCATCCAAAAATATTCAATGTGTGAAATAGTTTGCCAACTTTTGTAGACAAAATAAGAACATGTCCATTCTAGTGACTTTTTGGAGAATTCACAAATACTGGAAAGACGCACTTCTGACTATTTCGTTAACGCCGATTTCGTTGAAGAATTTAGTCAAATGTCTGTATCTCATATAGATGCGTTTCAGTCAAAAACCAATAATAAATGTTAATCTTTTGCCACTTCTGAGAGATTATAGGTCTTTGGGAAATATTGGTTCCAGATCTAGGAAGACCATTTACGTGAAACATCTACCAATAAATTGGAAATTATCAAATTAGTTTAAGTTGCTATTATTCGAAAATTAGAGAACGAAACCTGATGGTTTTCTTTTATTATTTGTCACAATATCTTGTGGAATTCTTTCGAGTATCTCGCCTATATACACTGTATCGTTTATTGTAGTGTTGTAGGGTATTCAACGGTCGGCCCCGCTCGACTGTAGCCTTTGCTTACTTGTTTTTTTTTTGAATTTTCATATCTTTTAGGATCACTTACCCATGCAACTTTTTGTACATTTCGTCAAAACAACTTGTACCGCTGCAATCGAAATTGTTGAACATAAATGGCTTTAGGACGTCCAGGGTTGAGAAAAGTTTTCGTTGAACTTTCAGTAGCTGTGGCTTCTGGCCCATCATCTGCAGTATGCCATCCAAAAGAAGGCTGGGTAGAAATTGTTTAAGGAAAAACTACAAATGAAAAAAGCATTAATAACACTGTGCGACAAAATTCCATTTTTCAATAATTGCTCGAAAATATGAAAGTAGTCACTTGCGTTGGCGTTTTTAAAAAGGTTCTCTGCTGACAGTTTTCTTCTAAATCTAAATTTTATCTATCTTTCATGCATCAACTCCATGGAAAAATCCATTCAAGTTTTAAAATGGTACTGAACTTCTAAAATGCTACCATTCGATGTTATGTGAAGGGATAGAGCTGAAATATGTGTGCGAACTGCACTAAATGGTACTAAATTGGGAATAGTTAGGTTTTGGGATGAAAGGATGCAGCTGGGATTTCGAAGTTTTGATATAGGGATCTCTCTTGCTGGTACGTTTGTGGAAAAGAGTGTGCAAGTGCACAAAAAGTACTAAATAGTACTATACTTGGTAGAATTTGGTATTAGTTAATCAGTTAGAGCTTGAAATGTAAAATTGGTAATAGGGTCGCTGTTCATGTGTAGCCGGGACATATGGACTCATTTGGGTATAGTGGGAAGGATACTTTTGGAATCCTAAAATTTGATTTGATATTTGAGTTCTCTGTTGGTATCTGGAAATGAAATTTTTTGGGTACTATAATTGTACGAAAAATACTAAATTTGATATTGGGTTAAAGAATAAATTTGAAATCCTGAAATTGAATATTGAGCTCTGTTTTTAGTTTCGTTTAGTTTTCGGAAACGTGTACTATAATAGTACGAAAATTACTAAATTTAACTAAATTGGGTATTGGTTGAAGGGATAGAGCTGAAATCCTCAAATTTGATATTGAGGTCTTTGTTGGTATCTGGAAATTAGATATGGGGGTAGTTTTGGAAATGTGTGCTATAATTGTACGAAACGTACTAAATGGTATTAAATTTGGTATTGGGTGAAGGAATGGGACTGGAATCCTCCAATTTGACATTGAGCTCTCAGTTGTTATTTGAAATTGAGACTTGTAATTGGTTTTGGAAATGTGTACTATAATTGTACGAAAAGTACTAAATGGTACTAAATTTGGTATTTGTACTATAATTGTTCGAAAATTACTAAATGGTACTTAATTTGGTATGGGGTGAAGGGATATGTCGGAAAACCTCAAATGTGATATTGACTTCTCTGCTGGTATCTGAAAATGATGTTTGGGAATGGTTTTAAAAATGAGTACTATAATTGTACGAAACGTACTAAATGGTACTAAATTTGATACTGGGTGAAGAGATAGGTCTGGAATCCTAGAAATTTGATATTGAGTTCTCTGTTGGTATCTGCAAATGGGATTAGGTGGTGGTTTTGGAAATGTGTTCTATAGTTGTACTAAAAGTACTAAATGGTGCTTAATTTGGTAATGGGTGAAGGAATAGGGCTGCAATCCTCAACTTTGAGCTCTACGTTGGTATCTGGAATTGAGACATTCAGGTGGCTTCGGAAATATATTCTATGATTGTACGAAAAATAGTAAGTTGTACTATATTTAGTATTGGATGATGGGACAGGTATGGAATAATCAAATTTGATATTGAGCTCTCTGCTGGTATCTGAAAATGAGATATGGGTGTCGTTTTGAAAATGTGTACCATAGTGGTACTTAATTTGGTATTGGATTAAGAAATGGAGTTGAAATCCTGAAATTTGATACAGATGTCACTCTTCGTGTCTGTGGTTAAGATATGGATATTTGTACTATAATTGTTCGAAAAGTTAAAAATTGGACTTAGTTCGGTATTGGATGAAGGAATAGATCTAAAATCCTCAAAATTGATATTGAGGGCTCTGTTGGATTCTGGAAATGAGATATAGGGGTTGTTTCGGAAATATGTACTATAATTGTACGAGAAGAACTAAATAGTACTAAATTTTGTATTGGGTGAAGATATAAATATGGAGACCTAAAATTTGACATTGAGGTCTCTGGTTGGTATCTGGTGGTGGTTTTGCAAAAGCGTACTATAATTCTTTGAAAAGTGCTAAATGGTACTAATTTTGGATCACTGTTGGTGTCTGGGATGGAGAGATGTACATTGTTTTGGATATTCGTAGTAAATTTTACTAAATTTGATATTGGGTTAAGGGATAGAGTTGTTATTCTGAAATTTGATATTGGGATATCTGCTGGTATCTGAGATGCAGTCATGGAGGTGGTTATGGAAAAGCGTACTATAATTGTGCTCAAATGTACTAAATTTGGTCAATGAAGTGGACGGATGAAAACAGCAACATCAACAGAAATGGTTCGAAAAGTAAAGAAGCGAAGAAGAAGAAAAAAATTGGCTCGTGATCTGAACATATCGCTATATTTTATTCGACAAATATTGAAAAATTAACTCGGGATAAAGCCATTGAAATTCCAAAAAGTGCAAGAACTTACACCGCAGCAGAAAGAATATAGTCTCAAAATAGCTAAAGAGTTGCTTCGCTTGGCTGAAAAAAGTGAACTGGCGAATTTGGTTTTCTCCGATGAGAAAACATTCGTTGTCCAGCAGTTTGTCAACAAACAAAATGATCGTGTTTACTTGCCAAAGAGGTCAGCTGAAAATATGCACCTTCGGTTGGCCACAAGAACTCAAGCGTCGCTCATGGTGATGGTGTGGGCCACCTTAACAGCCAGACAGACCGTGGCATCAGAATAAATGTCATACATTGTCGCGAAAATATTCTGAAGGGTGCATTAAAGCCTTGGGCACGCAAACATTTTGGCCGTATACCTTGGACATGCCACCAGAACTCAGCACGCGCCACCCAAGACTGGTTACAAAATGAGGTTCCTCGCTTCATTTCCAGCGCCAAAATGGCCATCTCCGGATACTAATCCGTTGGACTATTGTGTCTGGAGTATTCTGGAAAGCAAGGTTGGCACTAAAAAATACCAAAGTGTCGATTACCTCAAGCAAGCGCTTCGCTGGGAATGGGCCAAAATACCGCAGAGTAACATTTAGGCAGCGTGTGACGGTTTCATTGGCCGCTTGAAGGATATAATTCTTGCCAATTCGAACAAATCTACACTTATTCTAAAATTTGATGCTATTTCCGACATTCCATAAAATTAAAAAGTAAAAATTATGGCGTTTGACTTTGTTGCAGTTTTTTTATCTCACTCTGTAGTCTTGTTATTTCTGCAAAAAAGATAAACTATTACATCCTTACCACAACTTTATAATACAGCCGATTCTCCGTCACTACGGCATCTGGTATGAGGAAATTTTTCTCGAAAGCCACATCTTCGCAAATCTTATACTCTTTTATCAGTTCAATATATTTTATGATTGTAACATCCGAATGCGAAGATGATGCTGTATGGAATATGGGTATATCCTTTGGCCTTTCATTGTTTTCATACGATTTGGTGGCTTTCATGGTATAATAGAGTAAATGTTTGGTTACTAAATCCTGCGGTGATACATCCAAACGTATATTGGGCGTTGTGGGTACACCCTTGAGAATACCAGCGGCATAGGCAATAAACATGCCCATGGCACCAACAAAACCGGTGGGGAACCCAGGTTCAGGTTCTTCGAGGGCCTGGATAACTGGGGGAATTTGTTTTAAATAGATTAAGAAGTTTTTGTGACGTGGGGGAAGGGCAAATCTTATTTTACTTACCAATAGAAGGTCTATATATGGCCAAGGGTAATTTGTGACGAAAATCATTTACCATGGATTCCGTTAAATTTTTCGTAAAACTATAGGTATTTGGGAAGCCAATGATTAATCTGCAGAAAAAAATTTAAGAGCTAATTATTTATATTATCAATTATTTTTGAAGGAGTTTGCCTACTTTCTTGTCAGAATATCCAACATATCATCGTTTATATCATTGCGCTGACATAAATCTAAACAAAATTTCCAATCCATTGGTGCCGGGTACACCTTGGGTTCAATATACTCCAAATAGGGATTACTGTACAGGGTTGAGACATGCATAATTGCTTGAAGATTTTCGAATTTCTCTGCCAATTTCAAAACTTCATAAGTGCCGCCAACATTTAGTTTTATGGCCTGCCTTAGAGGTTCATCGAAGCGCACCGTGGCTGCACTGTGTATAACAATGGAAACATTTTTCAATTTTTCCATATAATCTGGGGTGATACCCAGCTGGGGTTGTTCCACATCTCCCGGTATGATGGTAACTTTCTGATCGAATTCATTTGGTTTTTCGCTCATCAGGCGACGGAAAATCTAAAATAAATTAAGTTTTTTTGTCATTTTTTTCACCCTCTTCTCCGAATTTTTACTGAGAAATTTGGAATGTCAACTTCGATTTTTTGTTCAAATATTTCAATTTTAAATTCAAATTAAATATCAATATTTTTTTAATTTAACTTCTTACCAAATGTTCTTTCATCTGCCGCAAGCGTTCGCTGTGTGTTGCATACTTCTTGGGGCGTAGCAACAAATAGATTCTTCCAACATTACATGAGCGCAGTAGTTTGTCCAGTAAAGCTTTCCCGACGGTGCCTGGAATGAAAGAGAAGGTTTTAACATGGTAAGTGTGAATACCTAACAGCCGAAATTAATACCAAAAATTAGTTTGAAACGAATATTCGTATAATTGGGCATTGTTTTTTGCGTCCCACATTATTTTATGTAAAACGATACGAAAAGTATTAAAAGGTACTAAATATTGTACCCTTTCTATTTGAGGAAGCTGGAAATCTTTAATTCATTCAGTCATTCATTGAGTTTGTAATAGATGTACCAAAGAGTTTTTGGAAATTCGCACGAAAAGTACTGAAATGTACTACATTTAGTACCATTTCGTATTATTTGAATGGTTAGAGTTAAAAACTTGAAATTTGTATTGGGAATCAAGGTTGAGGAGTAGAGTCGATGTAAGGAAGAAGTTTTGGAAGTGTGTACTCGTGTACATGAAAAGTACTAAACGGTACTAAATTTAGTATAATTTGAATTTGGAGGAATGGATAGAGCTGGAATCCTGAAATTTGAAATGAACATTACCAGCGGAATGTAGGACTCGGACATGGAGGAAGTTTTCGAAATTGCTATTTGTGTGCAAGAAAAGTTCTAAATGGTACTAAATTTTGGTGCAATTTCGAGTTGGCCAAGCCAATAGAGCTGGAATTTTAAAATTTAGAAAGAAGATTACTATTGCATTCTTGGATTGAGAAATGTAGATAGTTTCGGAAATTTGTACTCAATGGTACTAAACTTGATACAATTTACATTTTGGGAGGACCAATAGAGTTGGAATCCTGAATTTTGAAAATAAGATTACTATTGAATTGTAATACTGAGGTATGGACGTTTTTTTTTTGGAAATTCGTATTTATGCGGTAAATGGTACTAAATTTGGTGCAACTTAGATGTTGGGTGAACCGGTGGAGTCCTGAAATTAGAAAATGAGATTCCTATTGAACTGTATGATATAGGTAGCTATGAAAATTTGTACTTAAGTGTGCTAAATGGTACTAAGCTTGGTGGTTAGAACAAATATAGCTGGTACTAAATTTGGTACAATTTTAACTTGGGTAAACCAATAGAGCTGATATCCTGAAATTTGGAAATAAGACTGCTGTCGAGGTGTAGGATTAGGATATGTAGGTAGTTTAGGAAATATGTACTTATCCGTACAAAAAGGTGCTACATTTGGTACAACTTAGGTTTGGAAAAACAAATAAAGCTGGATCCTGAAATTTGGAATTAAGATTATTGTTGGAATGTAGGATTGGGGTTTTTGTGAAATGTTACTTAATTTGGTACAATTTGAATGAAGCTTTGGCGCTGGAGGTCATTAATTTGGAAAGGTTGGGTTTATGGGAATAAAAGCTAGAAGTGTTTTAAAAACATTAAATTTCGTGCCCTTTTTATACCCCCACCACAGTATGAAGGGAATATTAATTTTGTCATTCCGTTTGTAACAACTCGAAATATACATTTCAGACCCCACAAAGTATAAATATTCTTGATCAGCATAATATTCTATGTCGATTTAGCGATGTCCGTCCGTCTATCCGTTTGTCCGTAAGTCGAAATCACTCTAGCTTCCGAACAAAATGAAGTAAATTTATTAAATTTTACTCAAATGTATATTTTGTCTGCAGGACTTTTGGTATTGAAAATAGGCCATGTATGTCCACGTCTTCGTATAGCCCCCATTTTGATGATTTTAGCGGCATTATTTACCGGAATCGTTTCAAATTTGGCATTTGAGGTTCGCAATGGATACTACAGACTATGACAGAAAATTGTGTAGGCCTGTGTAGGTCCACGTCTTTATATAGCCCCCATATAACGGAACCCCCCGATATTCGGTATTTTGATGATTTTAGCAACACTATTCACCGAAATTTTTTCAAATTTGGTATTTGAAGTTCGTAATAGATGCTACAGTCTATGACCGGGGATTGCCTGTACAGGTCCACGTTTTTGGTATAGCCCCCATATAACGGAACCTCTCTATATTCGGTACTTTGATGATTTTAGCGAAATTATTCACCGGAATTGTTTCAAATTTGGTATTAGATATTCATAATGGCTGCTACAGCCTATGATAGAAAATTGGCAGTGCAGGTCCACGTCTTCGTATAGCCCCCATATAACGGCACCTCACAATATTCGGTATTTTGATGATTTCAGCGACATTTTTTACCGGAATTGTTTCATATTTCGTATTTGAATTTCGTAATGGAGCCTATGGCAGAAAATTGTCTGTGCAGGTCAACGTTTTATAACCCTCGTGGTACCTTCCTATATTCGGCATTTTCATGATTTTAGCTACATTATAAACAGAATTTTTTTTTTCAAGTTTTGGATTTGAATATTGTATGGCTTATGACAAGAGTTGCCTATGCAGGTCCACGTCGTTGCATACATACGGCTACATTCGGTATTTTTAAGATTTTAACGGAATTTTTAACTGATTTAATTTTTTTTGATAATTTGCCAAATTCGTTCCAAAGTTCGGCTTCGCCAAATTTACAGCTATTTGACTCGTTTTATCTGTCATTATACCCTACAACACTATGTGTTGAGGGTATTATAAGTTTGATTGGGCCAAAAATTATGTAACACCACGAAATATTGATTTCCCACATAGGAAAGTATATATGGATCTTCCTATCTCGCCGAGCTGAGTCGATCTAGCTATGTATGTCCGACCGTCCGTCTGTCCGTCTGTCCGTCTGTCCATGTTAATTTGTAATCACTCTACAGGTCGCAATTATGGCCCGATCTTCACGAAATTTGGAATGGAGGTCGGGGTCGGGCCAGAATAGAACCCTATTTCTTTTTGAGATGATCGCCAAATGGTTAGGGGTTGAAATGGACCAAAAACTGAAAAATTTGCTGATTTTGCAGTTGCTCTACAGGTCACAATTATAGACCGATCGACGCGGAATTTCGCATGTAGCTAGAGTTTAGGGCGGGGAAGAACCCTACCAATTTGGGTGGTCATCGGATAATATTTAGCGGGTAAAATAGACCCTATCTTTTTTGTTAAAAAAATTCAAAATTTTTCATTAAACCGCGAATATTTTAAATCGCGGCGAAATCGAAAAGCCATGACAAGGTTACTTCTGATCTCTACATTGATGTTAACATCCAACAAAACGGATATATAGCAAAATATGTGCGATATGTATGTCTACCAAAGAAGATATGCTTGAAAGATGTCTTATATGTCGAGAACGGCTGAACTGATTTCGACAGTTCTCATTAGTTCAGAATGGCCTCTTGGCAGGAAAGAAAAAACGTCTAAAAAAATCGCATAAAAACATCTCCCTAAAGATGAAAATATTGATTTTTTAAAATTTTCTCATAATTTTTCAATTTTGTCATATTTTTGGCATATTTTCATTTTGAATTAAACATTTGGTAATATTTCTACAGCTAGCAAAACTAAGTAGTTAGGATATCAGGATATCATATACAGATCGCATTTACGGTCCGATCCTTACGAAATTTTGCATGAAGATAAGATGAGGATCTGAATAGATGCCTACTCTTTTTGGAGATGATCGCCATATATTTAGGGGTTGAAATGGACCAAAAAACTGCAAAATTGTCCGCAGGTCGTAATTATCGCCCGATCCTCACGCACATTTGAATGGGGGTTACCGGACATTGCAAAACCCAAGCAGTTTTGGATGGCCATCCAAAAATATTCAATGTGTGAAGGAGTTTGCCAACTTTTGTAGACAAAATACGAAAATGTTCATTCCAGTGACTTTTTGGTGAACTCACAAATACAGGAAAGACGCACTTCTGACTATTTCGGTAACGCTGATTTCGTTGAAGAATATAATCAAATGTCAGTATCTCATATAGATGCGAATCAGTCAAAAACCAATAATAAATGCTAATCTTTTGCCACTTCTAAGAGATTATAGGTCTTTGGGAAATATTGGTTCCAGATCTAGGAAGACCATTTACGTGCAACAACAACCTATAAATTGGAAATGAGGAAATTAGTTTAAGTTGCTATTATTCGAAAATTAGAGATCGAAACCTTATGGTTTTCATTTATTATTTTTTACAATATCTTATGGAATTCTTTGGAGTATCTCGCCTTTATAAACTGTATCGTTTATTATAGTGTTGTAGGGTATTCAACGGTCGGCCCCGCTCGACTGTAGCCTTTGCTTACTTGTTTTTTACTAAATATTTAAAATTTTGCTTTTAAGTTTTATTTAACTTTTGCAACTTTTCACTCAAAACGTGTTCGCTTACTCTAAAAGCAGCCAAGCACTATTCTAACACAGGATTGAATATTAAAAAAATATATATATTTTATAATATTTAAATATTAATATTTGAATGAATTTGATATTCCACGAAAAATGCAATTAATTTCTTTTTATTTATTTTATTCATATTTTGATAAATAATTCTCGAGTTTCGTTACTCACAATCACTTACACCACTGGGACTCATCAAATATAACCACTTTAAGTTAAATATATGTACTTATTATTTTGATTATATATATATATAAAAACAATATTTGGAGTAGCTCATTGGGAAAGTATATATCATTTCGAAATATTTTTTTTTTTTTAATTTTTATCAATATTTTCCGCAAAGGACAATATATTATCCACATTTCAAATATTAATATAGGTTCATATTTAGATGAAAAAAAAAAAATATTTTTTTATTTATTTATTTCACGGTCCTCGCGGTACTATTTCTGTATTCCTTAATCTGGCATTTGCTAAATCGCACAAAACCTGTGTCTTCATCATTTCGTCCATAGACAATTTTTCGCAGAATTGCCTTGATTTCTAATATTCTCGTCATAATATTTTCTTACCCGATCCACCAGTAATAAAAATTTCGCGATTTTCAAAAAATTCCTCAATCATAGTTTTTTGGTATTTTTATCTCTTAATTTTTGTTTTAAATTCAAAGTATGTTTCCGATTTCAACGTCGAAGTCGAACTAAACTCGAAAGTTGGACGAGCCTTACACAGGTATATATTTTATGTAAGAAACTTTCGCTTAAGTTGAATGCCCTCAAATAAACACCTTGAATGTGTGTAAACTCTTCCGCTATTTTGTTGTATTTACATGAATAACATGGCACGTGTGCGTGTGTATGTCTTTGACAAAACTTAAATTAATCGCAAAGTTATTCATTTATGTATACAGGAGTTTAGAGGACTGTGAATGACATTCGGCTTTTCGTTTTGAAGAATTAATGTCAAATATATGTGTGTGTTTGTGTTTTATCAGCCCATAATAAATACTGGACAACACAAACGAATAATTATAAAACTAAAAGACGCGTATATCGGATTTTTGAAAGTTTCCATCGCAAAGTAACCTAAACACAGGGGGCAAGTTCGCCCCTCTTCCAAATTTTTCTTTTCAAAATTTCGAATTAAGATTCCTTGAAATCCCTGCAATTTAGGTAAAAATTTCTTCGGCAGACTGATACGTAGACTATTTTGGTCGAATATTTTAACAATCACTAAAGGAGTGTTTTTGCTACGTTTTCTAAATACGGTTAAAAACTCATTTAGACGGGATCGTAGCAAGTCAAAGTATTTTCCCAAATTATTTGGCATAGAATTTTACTAGAGGTCCCAAACTACATCAAAAGTGTAAATCTTTGTCAAATAGCAGGAAAGTATTAAAAACACGTTTTAGGCTTGAAGTGACACTTCATTTGAATTTATGCAAAATTCTTATACAAAACATGATTTCAGTTGTATGACATCCAAGACTAAAATATTCTCCAGTAAATTTATTACAAGAAAAAATGCATATTTCCACTCTTAGTATAAAGATGTATTTGCATGAACGTTGCAAAAAAAGCGAATTCGGAACTTTTTTTTCAATTGTTCTGTCTAAAACTATTTAATAGTTTCCTAAAAACCAATAGTGATCTCAGCCCCGTAATTACCCCCAACACAAAATTTAGTACCATTTAGTACAGTTATAGCACGCATATTCACACAAAACCAAAGTTTTCGAAATTTTCAAAACCAACTCCATATCTTAACCACAGACAGGATACCAGCTCTATTCCTTCCCACAGTACCAATTTCAGTACTTTTTAGCACATTTCGAACAATAAAGGCACGCATTTTCAAAACAATCTCCATATCTCAACCTAAGAGCGGTGACCATAATATCAAATTTTAGGATTTACTCATTTTAATTTCCCCATTACAAATTAAGTATTATTTCTTTAGTATTATTATTTTCTAGCTCCTTCTTTCAACCTCAGATATCAACAGAGAATTCATCGAATTCGTATCGAACATCCCTTCACCCACTACCCAATATAGTACCACTTAGCACTTTTCGTGCAATTATAATGCACATTCCCAAAACCACCTCCATATTTAATTCCAAATACCAACAGTCTCAATAACCAGCCTCCGTACAAATATAGGATGCATTTTCAAACTCAAACACCGCCAAATCTCAAACACAGATACCATATGTAATCTAAATATCAAATTTCAGAACTTTATCTCTATCGCTTCACCCAATACTAAATAGAGTGCCATTTTCTACTATTCGTCTACTTATAGTACACATTTTCGAAACCACATCTATATGTCCAGGCTACATATGAACAGCGACCCCAATACAAAACTTCAGATTTCAAACACAATCTGGTCACTCAATACCAAATTATATCAAATATAGTACTGTTTAGTACATTTCGTGCCCTTGTAGTACACGTTTCCAAAAACACCTGCATATCTCAATACCTGACACAAACAGACACCTCAATAACAAATCGCTTTATCCAATACCAAATTTAGTACCATTTAATACTTTTCGTACAATATTGGTACACCCTTCCCAACCACCGGCAAATCTCAAAAACAGATAATATCAGTAATCTAAATATAAAATTTTAGAATTGTATCTCTATCCCTTCACCCAATAATAAATATAATACCATTTGGTACATTTCGTACAATTATAGTACACACTTCCGAAACCACCTAGACAAACCCAGGCTATACATGAACAGCGACACTAATACTAAATTTCACATATAAAGCACTATTTGTCCACACCAAATACAGTATTGTTTAGTACCTCTCGTGTACTTGTTGTAAACATTTTCAAGACTACAGACACCAACAGCAACATCTATATCAAATTTTAGGATATCAGCTCTATTCCTTGGCACAATATCAATTTTGATACGATTTAGTACTTTTCGTACAATTGAACTTCACCTTTCCAAAACAACCACTAGATACCAACAAAAACCTCAGTATCAATTTTGAGGATTTCAGCCCTATTCCTTCATCCAATCCCCAATTTTTTACCACGTAGTACTTTTCGAACAATTATAGTACATATTTCCAAAATCACCTTCATATTTCAATTCCAGATATTAAAAGAAAAATTTCAGGATTTCAAGTCCATCCCTTCACCCAGTTCCAAATATACTACCATTCAGTGCTTTTCATACAATTATAGTACACATTTCTGAAACTACCTTCATACAGAAATACAAATGAACATCGACCCTGATACCAAATTTCAAATTGTAAGCATTATTTGGTCACAAATTGTACCAGATATAGTGCTTTTCGTGTACTTGTGTACACATTTCCAAAACCACTTCCATATCATTACCGCAGGTACCAACTGTGACATCTATATCAAATTTCTGTATATTAACTTAGTACCTTCACCCAAACCAAAATTTAAATTTTACTTTTCTTACAATTAAAGTACACATTTCCAAAACCAACGACAAATCTTAAACACCAAATCGAGAGAGAATTCCAGCCCTATTCCTTCGCCACCAAAATTTTGTACCATAATTTAGTACTTTTCGTATAAATATAGAATGCATTTCCAAGAACACATGAGCAACGACATTAATACCAAATTTTGCATTTCAAGTACTATTTGTTGACGAAATACCAAATGTTACCAAATGTTACCAAATATAGTACTATTTAGTACAATTCGAACAATTATAGTACACTTTTCTGTAACCAACTCTCTATTATAAATCTAACACCACCATACAAATTACAAAATGTTAGCTTTATCCTAAACCAAATCAAGTTCAAATTTAGTACCTTTTTAGAACAGTTCACGCACTTAGTACACAATTCTAAAACCACATCCACATATTAAACTTACTTTCCAACCTTGATTTGTATACCAAATTTCAAGTTTTTAGCTCTATCTGTTCACATTATACCAAATAGTACCATTTTAGAAGTTTGGTACCATTTTAGAACTTTTCGTAACCTTAAAATTCGAATTTAAAAAACCCTTTCCTTAAAAAAATATGCTGCACTTCATCAGTGACTCTTATTGCAAATTTCCGAATTCTAGATAGTTTCTAAAACAAATGTCAGAATTTTAACCTCAAACGTTTTGCCTGGACGTAGATTAATCAATCAGTCAGTAACTCACTGAATTATTTTCAGAATTCATATTTCGAACTGAAAGCGGTGTTCACTAAAATAGCAGTGATTCTTTAATCAATACACACATATTTCCATACATTAAACCCTTGGTATCGATGTCACCATTCATATGAGGTTTACAGAAAACAAATCGATTTATGCATTCCAGAGAACATCAATTGCTAACAGCTGCAGATGCAACATATATATTCTTGGACATTTGGAATCTGTATGGACATTTGTGAGGCTAGTGTTGTCGGTAACTCTCCAAGGATGTATCCAACTAAGGGCAACCTTGTATCATTTCAGTTCCCGTATTTTTATCACTTCACCTCTACCTACTCCTTTGTACTTAGTAAATACCTTCTGACAACATCCTCATATAATTAAATGGCTCTAAATATACGCCACATCCGATATGTAAAAATTATACTATATATATTCTTCAATCCTAAATTGGAATGTTTTGTTTTAATTATAATTTTAATATAAACTTAATAGAACTCTTACAAATGTTGGAATTGAGGAAATTATTTTCGTTTTCTATCTTTCTAACATTCAAAAAACTATTATCGAAGACCTAGAAAGACAAGACCGAATTTATAATCAAATATCCAAAATAAAAAATTTCCGAATTTGTTAAAATTAATGAAATTCTAAAATTTCACACCTGTTATTTTTATATTTTATTTTTATTTTGTATTTGTAAATTTTATTTAAAATATTACATTCACATAAAAAATAAACCTTTTCCAACGTAGCATCAATAGCTTAGATGGAATTCTCCAAAATTAATGTGTAGTTGGTGTGCACATTCCAATCCCATTCAGACATCCAAGGGACAATAAAACTATTATAAACTTTATATGCAAAGAATAGTTGTAGAGCACGATATAAAGCGATTTTTCTGAAAATTAATAAAAAAATTAATTAATTTATGAAATGAAATGAAATGAATAACAAATTAATGCATACTAACATTTTAAGTATTCTCTTTGCCCGCGGAATTGTGGACGGATCTTCCTTCAGCAAAATTTCACGGGATTTGCTAATCATGTCATAGCAGTAGCCAACGTTCACAAATAAGTTTTTGGAATATTTCAGGGTGTCCACATTGAAGTCCGTACTGAAACAATACAACAATACAATTTTTTGTTATAAACTGAAACAAAACGAACGAAATTGGTTGAAGTTGTAGTTAACTTTTAAACTTTTTTTTTTTTTTTTTTTGAAAAATGCACACTTTGCTTTTGGCCTTTAAAATAAATATTTATTGAAAAAAATGAACTCCTCTATATATTTAAAAAAAATCCATGTTTTGTTTAATCCATGTCTCTATATTAAAATAAAAATCATGTTTGCAACAATAAAAATCATGTCTCTATACATTTTAAAAAAAACGACTCCACGAGTCTATATTTATTTTTGAAAAAATCCTTGCCTCTATATATATTTTGACAAAAGTGAACTTCTCTATATATTTTCCGAAAAAAATACATGCCTTTATATTAAAAACACCATTTCTCTACATATATATATATATTTTTTTTTTTTTTTTGAAATCTACGCCTTTATATTTTTTGAAAAAAAATCATGCCTATATATTTTTTCCTAAAAAATTCATGCCTCTATTTTTATTTGGAAAAAATCCACACCTCTTAAATTCTTGTAAAATATAAACCATTATTTTTTTCACGTCCTCTGTTTTTTTTGGAAAAATTCACTTCTCTATATTTTTCAAATCCAACCCCTTCCACCATAGTATGGAGGGTATATTAAGTTTGTCACTTCGAAATATACATTTTAGACCCCACAAAGTATATATATTCTTGATCAGCATAAAATTCTATGTCGATTTAGCGATGTCCGTCCGTCTATGGAAATCACTCTAGCTTCCAAACAAAATGAAGTAAGTTGATAAAAATTTACTCAAATGTGTATTATTTCTGCAGGACTTTTGGTATTGAAAATGGGTCATGTAGGTCCACGTTTTCGTATAGCCCCTATATAACGGTACCCCCCGATATTTGGTATTTTGATGATTTTAGCTACATTTTTTACAGGATATATTTTAAATTTGGTATTTGAAGTTTGTAATGAATACTACAGCCTATGCCAGAAAATTAGCTGTGTAGGTCCACCTTTTATAACCGCAATGGTACCTCCATATATTCGGTTTTTTGATGATTTTAGCGAAATTATTAATCGTTTTTTTGTCATGTTTCGCATTTGAATATTGTAATAGCTTATGACAAAAGTTGCCTATGCAGGTCCGCGTCGTCGTATAGACCCTAATATAACAGCTACATTCGACATTTTTAAGATTTCAACAGAATTATTAACGGATTTTTTTTTTTTGAAAAGTGCCAAATTCGTTGTAAATGTTGGAGGGTATTCATAGTTCGGCCCGGCTAAACTTACAGCTTTTTTACTTGTTTAAATTTCATGTCTCTATATATTTTAAAAATCCAAGACTTAAATTTTTCGAAAAATAGAAATAGATTCCTTTTCAAAAATATAAAAAATGAATGCCTTTTTATGTTTTTAAAAAATGCAGTGCTCTATATATTTTTTAAAATTCTTGCTTCAGATTTTTTAAAAAATCCACGCCACAACTTTGCCTTTGAAAAATTATTTTAAAAAAATCCACACCACAACTTTTGCTATTGAACAATTATTTTAAAAAAAATCCACACCACAACTTTTGCTATTGAAAAATTATTTTAAAAAAAATCCACGCCAAAACTTTTGCCTTTGAAAAATATTTTTTAAAAATCCAAGTCTCTACTATTGCCTTTAAAAAATTATTTTTAAAAAATCCACGCCTTAACTTTTGCCTTTAAAAAAATATTTAAAAAAAATCCCCGCCTGAATTTTTGCCTTTGAAAAATTATTTTTAAAAAAACCACGTCTCTACTTTTGCCTTTGAATTTTTTTAAAAGTCCACGCCTCTACTTTTCCTTTTGATTTTTTTAAAAAAGTCCACGCCTCTAATTTTGCTTAGATTTTATTAAGTCCACGCCTCTACATATGCCTTTGAAAATCTATTTTTTAAAAAAATACACACATCTACCTTTGGCTTTGAAGAAATATTTTTAAAAAAATCCACGCCTCTACTTTTGCCCTTGAAAAATATTTTTTAAAAATTCAAGCCTCAATTTTGACATAACAGAAACCCTCTTACTTATCTTGATTACTTTTCTACGCAACTTACCCATGAAGAAGAAGATCCATTTCTTTGTAATGGGAAATACCGCTACAGTCATAGTTGTTATTCATGAACGGCTTCATGACTTCCAGTGTCAAAAATACTTTCCGTTGAATTTTTAGTAGTTGCGGTTGTTTACCAGCAGCTACAAGAAACATATCGACCAGCAAGCCCGGAAGAAGTTGTTTTAAATAGACCTGAAATTTTTTTTTTTTTTTTTTTTTTTTTTTTTTTTGGAACAAGGGTAGGCATATTACCGAGATACCTTCAATAATACCCCCAACTTACCATAAACATATAGGCAAATCGGCTATTGGTCACAAAGACCCCGGGTATGAGGAAATTCTTTTCGAAAGTCAAATCCTCAAAAATCTTATATTTATTGACCACAACGTTAAACTGTGGCAACGTAATATCGCTATGGGTCGATGAGGTCATGTGGAAAATTTCTATTTCCTTTGGCTGCTTGTCCAGCTCATAGGATTTGAACGTTCTGAAAATGTAATAGAGTAGAGTTTTTGTTACCAGATCCTGTGGCGATAAATCCAGCCGTATATCGGGTGTCACGTAAATGGTTTTCAAAACTCCAGCAGCATTTAGGATAAATAAACCCAAGGCACCGGTAAGGGCGGTGGGAAACCCAGGTTCAGGATCTTCCACAGCCTGTAGAACTAGAGGGGAATAAAGCAAAGTGAACAAGTATGATAACAAAATTTTGAGTTCCATTGTCCGATATTCCATAGAAAAGTAACAATGGTGAAATTTTGAAATAAATTGTAAAATATCTTAATTGTAATTAGAAGAACAATTGGACACAGTCAGCTTTCGAATTCTACACAAGGATTGAAGAATATTGCTATCTTTGTAAGGGATTTATAATTTATTTTTTAATATTGAATATTCACAAAATTTCAGCAATTTTCGAAAGGACCTTTTTAGAACTTTTTTTGTAGAAAACTCACATTTTTTGTCAGGAAATCTAAAAGAAAATATTTTTGAAGATTTACGCCGTTTTGAACGAATTTGTTATAAAATATTATAGAAATATGATTAAAAAGTCGCTATAAAATATTGCTTATATTTTCAAAATAATTCATGATTTTTTTGGAAATGTTTTTTTTTTAAATTCACGTCATGTTAAAAAATTATATTTGTATTCACCAAATTTCAAAAAATTCCGGTGAATAATGTCGCTGAAATCATCAAAATACCGAAAATCGGGAGGTATAGTTATATAGGGCCCTTCCAAAACGTGGACCTAAATGACCCATTTTCAATACTAAAAGTCCTGCAGACATAATATACATTTGAGTAAAATTTTATCAACCTTCTTCATTTCGTTCGGAAGCTAGAGTGATTTCCAAAGACGGACGGACGAACAGACATCGCTAAATCGACATAGAATTTTGGGCTTCTGAAGAATATATGTACTTTGTGGGATCTAAACTTAATATACCCTCCATACTATGATGGAGGGTATAAAAATCCATGATATTTATCGGAAAAATCGCTGTTTTAAATATTCATGGAAAACCTGTAAAAATTATGTTAAGAAATCCTTGATTTTTATCCCGAAAGTCCTTGCCAAAAATTTGTTTCCTAATCCTCGATTTTATGACCAAAAATCCTTGTAACATTTATTTTTAAAAACCACAAACCTTGACCAGAAAGTCCCTGACAACTAAATATAAAGGGGGGAAGTATTTGAATATATATGGGGAAAGTATAAGTTTCAGATAATTCAGGACTATTTTTAAATCTTATGATTATTTGAAATTACAGCTCCTTTAATGGGCCACCCAAAATTATAATAAATTCTGCCAAGACCAAATTTTTCTCTTGTAATAAAATGTCTTACCTATCGATGGCCGGAATATGGCCACAGGCAGTCTATGTTTATAGTCATTCACCAAGGATTCAGCCAAGTTCTTGGTAAAGGTGTAAGTATTGGGAAATCCTACTATTAATCTGAAAATATATAACAGCATTTGAAAGAGAATTGTTATGCATTGTGACCATCGAACTCAAACTCCAACCACCAAACATCATATCCCACTCACTTTCTTGTCAGAGTATCCAACATATCGTCGGATATATCGGTGCGATAACACAAATCCAAACAGAATTTCCAATCCATTGGCGATTGATAAATTTTCAGCTCAACAAATCTCAAATAGGGATTACTGTAGAACGTCGAAACATGCATTAGAACTTGAAGATTTTTCAATTTTTCAGCCAATTTCAAAACTTCATATGTTCCACCAACATTTATTCGTATCGCTTGTCGCAGTGACTCATCGAAGCGAATTGTGGCAGCACCGTGAATAATAACGGAGACATTATCCAATTGACGAGCCAATTCGGCAGTTATTCCCAACTGCGGGTGTTGAACATCACCCGGTATCATGACGATTTTTTCATCAAACTCATTGGGCTTCTCCGACATTAGGCGGCGAAAAATCTACAACATAGAAGTGAAAAAAATTAACATATAAATTCATACATGCCTATATATATAAAATTTACTAGTGCCCAGTAATTCGTCAGCGAAAAGTCCACCCCAAAAATTTTAGATTCCTTCCGACAGTTATTGTTAGAATTTTTTTGTACTCAAAATACAAAATTTGTTTAGTTAACAAAATGTTATTATCAAAACTTCTAAATATTCAGACATTCAAGGTTTACAAGCGCATTCTGGTGAGAATTTTCCAGAAAATAAGTTATTCGTGATGGAATTCAAGCGTGATAGTGGGATTTCTTTATATTTGGCTGAAAAACCACAAGTACCTATCGTTAGAGCACTCCAGCATTTAAATGTGAATAAATCTTTTGTGTCTCGTACCATCGCTCGTTACCGTGATACTGGTAGCGTAGCCCGACCCGGGTCAAGGAAGTGGACGGAAGAAAACAGCAACATCAACAGAAATGGTTTGAAAAGTAAAGAAGCCGAAAATGGCTAGTGAGCCAAATATACCGCAATATTCCATTTGTCAAATATTGAAGAATGAGCTCAGGGTAAAGCCATTGAAGTTCCAAAAAGTGCAAAAACTTACACCGCAACAGAAAGAAAATAGACTCAAAAGAGGTAAAGAGTTGCTTCGTTTGGCCGAAAGTGGTGAACTGCCGAATTCGGTTTCTCCGATGAGAAAACAATCGTTGTTCAGCAGTTTGTAAACGAACAATATGATCGTGTTTGCTTGCAAAGAGATCAACTCAAGCGCCGGCCATGGTGATGGTGTGGGCCGCCCTAACAGCCGATGGTCGCTCTCCGGCCGTGGCATCAGAATAAATGCCGAATATTATAGCGAAAATATTCTGGAGGGTGTATTAAAGTCACCCAAGAATGGTTACAAAATGAGTTTCCTAGCTTTATTTCCAGCGCACAATGGCCACCAGAATCTCCGGAGAATTTTGGAAAGCAAGGTTGGCTCTAAAAAATACTCAAGTGTCGATCACCTCAAGCAAGCGCTTCGCCGGGAATGGGCCAAAATACCGCAGAGCAACATTCGGGTAGCGTTTGGCGGTTTCATTGGCCGTTTGAAGGCCATAACTCGTGTCAAAGGTGATCAATTCGAACAAATCTAAACTTATTCTAAAATGTGATGCTATTTCCGAAATTTTGTGCTTTCATTCAATAAAATTTAAAAAAAAAAATGTAAAAATTATAGCGTTTGACTTTGTTGCAGTTTTTTATCTCACCCTGTATATTATTCAAGTTTTTATACCCTACAGCACTTTGTGTTGGGGGTATTGTAAGTTTGATTGGGCCAAAAATTTTGTAACACCTCGAAATATTGATTTCCCACATAGGAAAGTATATATGGATCTTCCTATCTCGCCGAGCTGAGTCGATCTAGCTATGTATGTCCGTCCGTCCGTCTGTCCATGTTAATTTGTAATCACTCTACAGGTCGCAAATATGGCCCGATCTTCACGAAATTTAGAATGAAGGTGGGGATAAGGTAAGAATAGAACCTTATTTCTTTTGGAGATGATCGCATAATATTTAGGTGTCGAAATGGACCAAAAACTGAAAAATTTCCTGATTTTGCAGTTGCTCTACAGGTCGCAATTATGGACCAATCGACGCGGAAATTAACATGAGGCTAAAGCTTCGGGCTGAGCAGAAGCCTTCCGATTTTGATGGTCATCGGGTAATATTTAGTGGGTGAAAAAGACTATAACATTTGTGTTAAATAAAAGTAAAATTTCCATTAAACCGCGAATATTTTTAGTCCCGGCGAAATCATAAATAGACGAACAGGTCAATTCTGACCGTTACGTAGATGCCGATAGTAAATACATCGGATATATATAACGAAATATGTACAATGTATATGTACAAAGGGAGGGGATGTTAGCTAGAATGCTTATATCTCAAGAATGGCTGGACCGACTTTGACAAATTTTGTCAATTCAGAATGCCCTCTTGACATAAAAGTATAAAATCGGAAAAAATCGCATAAAAATAAGTCATAAATGATCTTAATATAGATTTTTTAGTATTTTGTGACATTTTTTTATTTTTTCATATTTTTTATCGCATGAGATTTTTTCAATTTGACTTATAATATTAAGGTGTAATATAGGTATAACAGAAACCAAAGGACACGAAATCTCGCATGATGTTAGAATTTAGGACAGCGGGTAGAATAGACCACTACTTTTGTCTGAAAAATATCAACATTACTTACAGCCGATAGCCGAAATACACAAAATGCGAACTTCTGCCTTTTTTGCTGATTTCGTTGACGAATATAGCCAAATATCATAGACAAGAAGATCGTATAGAAGAGTCTAAATTTGGAGATACAGAGGGGCCTCTTGCTATGGAGATGATCGCAAAATACGACGGAGTGTGTAAATATTGGGCAAATGTCCCTGGTCAAAATGCCATGGGCAGTGCTCAGTCACATAATTTCAAAAGCGAAATCTTCCAAAATGGATTTGGACATAAGGGGGCTTCGAACATATTGTAGTGTTGTAGGGTATCACATCGTCGGCTCCGCACGACTATAGCCTTTGCTTACTTGTTCCTTTATCGAAAAGAATAAAGGGATAAGGTTTACCTTTTAATCTAAAAGGTTTTCAAAATCTTTCATTTTAAAGTTTATGGAGGAAGATTTAAGTAAAACCATTGCATAATGGACCCACATCCAATTTTTGTGTCGAAGACTATTTCAACGTCTCCATTTGTAAACCCTAGAAATCAACAGTAGCCTAGTTATCAAATTTCAGAATTTTAACTCTTTCCCTTCACCCGATACTACATTTTAGTACTTTTCGAACGAACAGAGACCTCAATATTAAATTTCTGGATTCCAGCTCAATAAAAATTTAGTAACATTTCTCAAATGTTTTTGGTTCGGTTCGGGACTTAATCAAAATTATTGAATTTTTGGAACCGCATTTTCAAATTCATAGCCATCACACAACACCTAGATTCCGAAAAATCAAACAAAATCGAAAATGGACCCATTTTTTGGAGTCCACGAAATATATGCCATAATATAATTGGCATATAATACCGAATATCGGTAGGTACCGTTATGGGGGATATACGAAGACGTGGACCTGCATACGAATTGTTTTGCCATAGGTTGTAGTACCCATTAAGATCTTTCAATGCATCGAATAATGCGAATAATCATAAAAATATTAAATATCGGGTGGTACCTTTATATGGGGGCTATACGAAGACGTCATAGGCTGTATTATCCATTACGAAGTTCAAACACCAAATGTCACTGAAATCATCAAAAAACCGAATATCGGGAGGTACCGTTATATGAGGGCTATTAGCAGACGTGGACCTACATGGCTTTCAATATTAAAAGTCCAGCAGACATAATATACATTTGAATTAAATTTTATCGATCTACTACTTGGGAAGCTAGTGTGATTACCACAGACGGACAGGCGGACGGACATCGCTAAATCGACATAGAATTTTATGCTTATCAAGAATATATATACTTTGTGGGGTCTAAAATATATATTTTCAGGCGTTACAAACGGAAGGATAAACTTAATATACGCTACATACTATGGTGGAGGGTATAACAAGTTATGGATTGGTGCTAAAAATCTTTATTCAAATTCTATCCCAAGACTTACCATTTCCGCCTTCATCTTTCTCAAGCGATCTTCAAGAGTGTGATTTTTCTTGGGTCGCATCAATAAATAAATCTTTTTCACATTGCAGGATCTCAAAAGTTTGTCAACAACGGCCTTACCCACCGTGCCTGAAATTAGAAGAAAATAATATTTTTTTTTTTTTAATTATTTAAAAGGTTTACATTTTTTATAGAGGTAGACGTAGTAGTGAGCCAATATGGTTCATTTTTGTACCTGGATTACATAAATATTACAATGTTCCGACTTTAAATTATTATAGGTACTCCCTTCGCACAATATGAAATTTTGATATTTTGTGGAAGAGACAGCGATATTGTGAACAGATATTACTCTAGAACTCGATATAAGTTTGTGTAAATTATTACGATATTCCAAGTTTACACATTTCGAGAGTTCTCGCGCTCCTTTAAAAAAATTCTGATCGAAGTGCATTATAGCAATATCTCATGATATTCGGGATTTCAAAGGTATAAGCTGCATTCTTCAAAAAAAGTTGGCTTAATGTGTCAATTTAGGTTCGTGTCGAAAAAAATCCATTTTTCGAATACTTTTTAATATCGACTCACATTTTGACATAAGCTCCGTATAGAGGTAACAACCGATTTTACATACCTTGAAGGACCTCTCCACTAAATTTCCAAATAAACCTTCACTTACCCGATCCTCCTGTGATGAATATTTCACGATCCTTGAAAAAATCTGCCACAACGTTTGTCATTATTTGCTGATATCTATGATATGAACGCCTGTTGCGAACTAAATGCAATTGTTCGATTTCGAAATGATATTTACAATTAATCGGCTATTTAACATAAATGTTGCACTGCAGTTTGAACAAAAAAAAATATCTAATTTGGGTGCATAATCAACGATGCCTAAATGGAATTCACAATCCGTCAAGCCACTTAGTTCGATGTACTTTTGCAATTTCAAGGTAGGTTTTTTTTTCTGGAATTAGTCTTTATTTTGTTAGGCAATTGAAAATTTGTAACATGTTAAATAATTTCTATTGTCAATGAGTTCGTTGAAAATTGAAGCAAGGCTCAAGGCAACAACGAAGCTATTTGTATAATATATAGGTAAGTAGGTTTCAAAGAAAGGGATACACATATACGTTGAAATATTAATAAACTAGCAAGAGCCCGCTACTTTGTCAGAGAAAAGTCCAGCTTAAAATTTTAGATTCGCTCAAACAGTTCGTGTTAGGCCTTTTTAGTACTCAAAATCCATAATTTGTTCCGTTTGACAAAATTTTTTAATCAAAACTTCATGCATAGTACTAAATTTTCAGGCTTTCAAGGTTTCATATTTTATTCAAGATTTTCCTTTCGCGGAAAGAATAATTGGAAATATTTACCTTTTACAACAAAAAGACTTTAAAATCATTTATTTTGAAGTTTACACGTCCAATTTATATACCCTTCACCATAGCATGGAGGGTATATTAAGTTTGTCTTTCCATTTGTAACACCTCGAAATATATATTTTAGACTCCACAAAGTATATATGTATATTCTTGATCAGCATAAAATTATATGTCGACTTAGCGATGTCTGACTATTCATTTGTCCGTCTGTGAAAATCACTCTACCTTCCGAACGAAATAAAAAGTTGATAAACATTTACTCAAATGTTTATTATTTCTGCAGAACTTTCGGTATTGAAAATGGGCCATGTAGGTCCACGTTTTGTTATAGCCCCCATATAACGGTACCTCCCGATATTCGGTATTTTGATGATTTTAGCGACATTATTCACTGGAAATGTTTCAAATTTGGTATTTGAAGTTCGTAATGGATACTACAGCCTATGATAGAAAATTGTCTGTGCAGATCCTCGTTTTGGTATAACCCCCATGGCATGGCAATGTAGGGTACATTCGGTATTTTGATGACTTTACATTATAAAAAGAATTATGTTTTTTTTTTCAAGTTTCGCATTTGAATATTGTAATAGCTTATGACAAAAGTTACCTATGCAGGCCCACGTCGTCCTATAGACCCTAATATAACAGCTACATTCGGTATTTTGAAGATTTTATCAGAATTTTTAACGGATTTTATTTTTTTTTTTTTTTTTGTTTATTTTTGAAAATTGCCAAATTTGATCCAGATGGTGGAGGATACTCAAAGTTCGGCCTTACAGCTTTTTTGCTTGTTCAGTCCAAAATTGCTTCAAACTCTGCATATGTCGCACGTCTCTAAAAACCAACAGTGACTCTAATATCAAAGTTCAGAAATTCACCTCTATCCCTTTACCCAATTCCAAATTTAATGACATATAGTACGCATATCCAAAACTGTCTACATCTCTCCATCCTAGGAGTCCTAGGATCCAAATTAGTACCATTTAGTACTTTTCAAACAAATATAGTACGCATTTGCACAACCATCACCAGATACAAACAGAGGCCTTAATATCAAATTTTGGGAATCCACCTCCATTCCTTCACACAATACCAAATTTTGTAAAGTAAAGTACTAAATGACTTTCGAACAATTCTAGTACACATTTCCAAAATCTCCTTCAACAGTGGCACCCATATCAAATTTCAAGATTTCAGTTCTATTCCTTCATCCAATACTAAATTTAGTACTTTCGTATAATTATAATACAAAGTTCCGAAACTAACTCCAGGCTACTCATGAGCGACCCTAAAACCAAATGCTGAGATTTTAAGCAATATCTTTTCACCCAAAACTAAATTCTACATGGACATCTATATCAAATTCCAGGATTTCAGTTCTAGCTCTTCACCCAATACCTAATTGTACCAAATTTAGTATCACGTGGTAATTTTCGTACGGCCGGACCGAACTTTGAATACCCTTCACCATTTGCAACGAATTTGGCAATTTTCAAAAAAAAAAAAAAAAATAAAATAAAATCCGTTAAAAATTCCGTTAAAATTTTAAAAATACCGAATGTGGTCGTTATATTAGGGCCTATACGACGACTTGGACCTGCATAGACAAATTTTGTCATAAGCCATTACAATATTTAAATGCTAAAAAAAACATTGGTGAATAAAGTACCTCAGATCATCAAAATACCGAATATAGGGAGGTACCATGGGGCATATACCAAAACGTGGACATGCACAGACAATTTTCTCTCATAGGCTGTAATAGTCATTACGAACTTTAAATACTAGATTTGAAACAATTCCGGTGAATAATGTCGCTAAAATCATGAAAATACCGAATATCGGGAGGTACCGTTATATGGGGGCTATACGAAGACGTGGATATGCACAGACAATCTTCTGTCTAGGCTGTAGTATCCAAACTTCGAATTTCAAATACCAAATTTGAAACAATTCCGGTGACTAACGTCGCTAAAATCATGAAAATACCGAACATTGGGAGGTACCGTTATATGGGGGCTATGCGAAGAAGTGGACCTGCGCAGACTCTTTACTGTCTTAGACTGAAGTATCCATTACGAACTTCAAATAACAAATTTGAAACATTTCCGGTGAATAATGTCGCTAAAATCATCAAAATATCGAAAATCGGGAGGTATCGTTATATAGAGGCTATACGAAAACGTGGACCTACATGACCCATATACAATACCAAAAGTCGTGCAGACAGTAAAATTTTATCAACCTTCTTAGTTTTGTTCGGAAACTAGAGTGATTTCCACAGACGGACGGACATCGCTAAATCGCCATAGAATTTTATGCTGATAAAAAAATATGTATACTTTGTGGGGACTAAAATGTATATTTCGAGGTATTACAAACGGAATGACAAACTTAATATACCGTCCATACTATGATGGAGGGTATAAAAAAAACAAGTAAGCAAAGGCTACAGTCGAGGGGCCGACCGTTGAATACCCTACAACGATACATTTAATATAGGCGAAATACTCGAAAGAATTCCACAAGATATTGTGAGAAATAATAAAAGAAAACCATTAGGTTTCGTTCTCTAATTTTCGAATAATAGCAACTTAAACTAATTTGCTCATTTCCAATTTATTGGTAGATGTTGCACGTAAATGGTCTTCCTAGATCTGGAACCAATATTTCCCAAAGATTAACATTTATTATTGGTTTTTGACTGTAACGCATCTATATGAGATACAGACATTTGACTATATTCTTCAACGAAATCAGCGTTAACGAAATAGTCAGAAGTGCGTCTTTCCTGTATTTGTGAATTCTTCAAAAAGTCACTGGAATGGACATTTTCATATTTTGTCTATAAAAGTTGGCAAACTCCTTCACACATTGAATATTTTTGGATGGCCATCCAAAACTGCTTGGCTTTTGCAATGTCCGGTAACCCCCATAATTACGTCCTGCTGACAATTTTGCAGTTTTTTGGTCCATTTCAACCCCTAAATATATGGCGATCATCTCCAAAAAGAATAGGCTTTTATTCTGACCCTCATCTTATCTCCATGCAAAATTTCGTAAGGATCGGGCCATAAATGCGATCTGTATATGATATCCTGATATCCTTACTACTTAGTTTTGTTAGCTGTAGAAATATTACCAAATGTTTAATTCAAAATGAAAATATGCCAAAAATATGACAAAATTGAAAAAATATGAGATAATTTTACAAAATCAATATTTTCCTCTTTAGAGAGACATTTTTATGCGATTTTTTTAGACGTTTTATGTTTTCTGCCAAGAAGCCATTCTAAATTAATGAGAACTGTCAAAATCAGTTCAGCCGTTCTCGACATATAAGAGATCTTTCAAGCATTTCTTCTTTGATAGACATATATAACGCACATATTTTGCTATATATCCGATTTGTTGGATGTTAACATCAATGTAGAGGTCAGAAGTAACCTTGTCATGGCTTCGTGATTTCGCCGGGATTTAAAATAGTCGCGGTTTAATGAAACATTTTGAATTTTTTCAACACAAAATATATGGTTTATTTTACGCGCTAAATATTATCCGATGACCACCCTAATTGGTATGCTTCTTCCCCGTCCTAAACTCTAGCTACGTACGAAATCACCTTCATTTATCCAAATTACTTTCCAAACTTGATTCCACACCAAAATTTCAAGTTTCTAGTCTATTCGTTCAAACAATACCAAATAGTATCATTTTAGAACTATTCGTAACCTTTAAGTACGAATTTTCAAAAAATTTTTTGTCCACCTATCCAACACTCCATCAGTAACTCTAGTTCCAAATTTCAGAATTCTGGATCATTCCGGTTGACGAAAATAAAGTATTGAATTTTTTGTGCCTTTTAGTACATTTCGTATCCTTTAAGTACGAATTTCCAAAAACCAAACTTTATCACATACCACCAAGACACCTCGTGCAAAATTTCAAAATTCTAACTTCAGCCAATCCGGCTGGGCATTGATTCTTGGTCAGTCAGTCGGTTATTTGAAATAATTAATATTAATTAATAAGTAGTAAGTATTAATTAATAAATAACTTATTGCACTACTCTTTTATATATATATGTATATATGACATGTTGCACAATAAAATGTATCTTTACTAGGTTATTTTACCAAAAACAAAATATTACGATTTCTATCAAAATTTTGTGACAGACAACGAATGCAATTCTAATTCCTTAATTTTTAGTTTGCAACAATGAAAAATTGTCTTTGGCCTATATGGCCCTCTAAATATTAATTGGATTTTGTCTAAATAAAACTAAATGTAAATAAATGCCCTACATTATAGTTTCGCTGTAAAATCGCTATGCGTTGACATGATTTATTAGAATGGGCGTTTTTAATTAAGAACGGCAAACGACAAATGCAATTTTGTTGTATGCGAACAGTGGGTGATTTAAGGCTATTTCGTTGGGCATTAACAAATAGTCAAATCTATGATTTTTAAGTTTAAAAGTACTTTTTTGTACTTCTATTTATTAAAAATTCGCCAAAAAAATTAGCCTTATGGCACATATTTACAAATCCAGTGACCC